TACAGTCACGGATGCACCTAATTTTACTCAAAGCAAAGCATCACTTATCTGAGTGGGTGCAATGAGTATTCTTTTTCTCTCATTTGATATCATTTCATTTCTTACCAATGTTGAATTCACCGCAGTGCATTCACTAAACAGTTAAAGTTTCAATTCAATCATCAACTGTAATTTAAAAGTTGTGCTACTTTACTTAAACCCCTTTGGGATTATTGTTTGGTGATTGGTTTTCATCATTTCTGGAATGAATCACTTTGCATGTTTAAATTACCAATGCAGAATGGTGATTACCTCAAATGGGTGATATTGTTATGCCTGGAAGAAAGTTAGAATCTGGATAAAACAAGAAGGAAGAAATTTGCAAAATAAAATGACATCATTTTGTTTCACGATTACTTTTCAGTTGCATACAGAGATTACTGCTTTGCACAAAAGGTATCCAACTCCAATTCAATAGCCAACTTTATAAACAGATAGATAGAGTGGCTATGGATTCACCTCTAGAATCTATCCTAGTAGACATCTTCATAGGTTACCTCGAACAGAAGCGCATGAATAAGTCATCAGAGGAACAACTTATTACCTTAGGTACGTTGAAGACACCTTCTTTGCTGGTAATGATATGAAATATGCAAGTGAGTTGTTTGACAAGCTCGACGAGGTTCATCCTAACATTAAATTGACGATGAAATATGAGCATGAAAAGGAGTTCAGTTGTTGAGATCTAAATAAGAGAAGAACTGATGGTAAGGCTGAAAAGACTATTCATAGAAAAGCACATGGACTGGACAATACCTCAGTTATAACAGTTTCTTTCCAGTCAGCTATAAACCTGGATTAGTCAAAACACTTTACAACAGAGCTAGGAAATTATGTTCTGCGAACAAGGTAGAGGAAGAACTAAACTTTATTGAGAAGTGTCTGAAAGGGAATAGACATTCTGAGTGATTTATAGCCAAGGATGGGAAAAAAGAGATGGAGAGAAATAAACAGTCAACTGTTGACAAGGTTTTTATACACCTTATATTCAAGAGAGATGCGATATCCAAGCGAATAGACCCAGGAATAAAAGTAGCACTGAGTAGGAGCTTCCCTGGAGTTAATCTTGTGTCAGCCGACAATACCACCTGCTCGCTGAACCAGTCACAATTGCATAATTACCCTGCTCACGTCACCTCCAATTGTATTTATGAATTCACTTGCATTAGCGGTAGTAAGTACATTGGAAGGACTGCGTGAAGGGCATCCATTCGGCTTGCTAAGCATATCCCCCAAGAATCTGTGCTTGAAAATATGTAAAATTCTAACCAGACACCTTTTAGACACAAGACATCAGGTTAAACCTCCAATGCTTTTAAGATAAAATGTCTAGATCACTGCGTTTCGCGGAAGCGATTCCAATCAAACGCTTCTAACCTGACCTTTGCACACAGAAGGAGAGTGTGGTTAGTCACTCACTCTCTTGATGACGATGACTTGATCCTGTCCGTTCTCATTTTAATTATATAAGTCTTTATTATTATTTTCCCTTTCCTATCTATTTACACTTGATTCTGTACATGTTACATGGATTATCAATGATTTTGTTGTACAACTTCAGACTATTGATTTGCTAATTTTGAAATATCTTATGTGCTAATAACCAGTGGACTTTGACTGTTTGCAGCTGAGGAGTATTCTTCGAAATAAAATTTCATTCTTCTTGCAAAAACGTTAGAAGTTGAGAAAACGTTGGAAATTTTCAGTTTCACCTTCCAGGTGTAAAATATATAGCAGAGCACGAGGATTATGAAACCATTCATCTTTCAGATATTTATTCACCTACGTGAGTGTACGGTAATATTGGAATATCCCATAAAACTGATCTCTATAAGACATTTCTTGCATTTTAACAGCAAAAGGAGTTTAATAAGAACACTATTGAATATGATGAAGAGATTTGTTTCTAAAGCATGAGTGTTACGACAGTGACCTGCAACCGTTGCGATCGCCTTTAAACCAGATCAACGAAGATTGCTGAGTTAACCCAATAGACTATCTGCTAGCTACTATTCTCTTTCAAAAGCATACATAACTATTATCTTCATTATTCGACAAAAAAAAATATCAACTCACGTGTTCTCTGAAGTCAATACAGTGAAAATAAGAAAAGATATCTATTGCCACATGTTGCGCTACACTGTCCTAAGTTATTGTCAGTTTTATACTATGCTATTCTGAGAAGTTTGAGTATATGCTCTCTGTCCAATTAGGATCATAATATTAATTTACGTAGGAGTTTTAAATTAATCACTGCAGAGATTAATAAAATACTACTCAGATTTGTAGAGTTTTATACAACTGGACTATAAAAACCCGGATGTTTGTAGGCAGAAAGAAATGCTAGTCAGTTCTAAACTTCCATCATATTATATTATTATATTATAGTATTATATTCTACACCTTGATATCCCACATATTCTCTTAGCGGCTTTCATTCTTTCCTAAGTTGATGTACTGGTAAATTTGGTTGGTGTTTTTTACACCTGCCAATAATTTATTGTACCGAACGAACAGGTTAACAGAATACCATGGATTTAAATGTATTGGCGTTGCATTCTCGTCAACTGCCTACAAGCTGATAAAGTTACATTTTTCGAAACCGCCCTATCTGAGAATTGAGGAATGAGATGATTGTGTGCGAGCAGTAAACTTGTTTAGAAAGCAGTTATAAGGTAGGATAATTTGATGTCTTTTTAATGCAGAATTTTACAGTTAATTGAAATGAAGGCTTTTTAAAGCTATTATGTTGTATCTGCCTGACTGAATACTTCGGCTAGCCACTGCAAGATGTAACATTGCTTGAATCCGTCTTATTAGTGACATTATGCAGAACTACTTGTGTCCTTTCACTGTTTAGTAACCCTGACGTCTTGAAATACTTCTTCGCGTTGATTTCACTGCTGAAATGAATTGTCCACCTTTTCTTTCCTACTCCAAAACTGAAGTATGGTTAGGTTGGAAAAAAGCTGAGCATGAACGTTACCAAATATGACATTGGTTCATGAGATCTTTGACTACTGTGGTATACAGTACTACCGAAAGTGGACTTCCAGGTTCGAATTTGCATAACAACCAAATCGAGGCTTGGAGACTTTGGATATCATGCCCCAGAACCGATTTTAGTGGAAAAAAAATACATCTACATATTATCGTGATCATATTTGTTATATCATATTTGGCCAATTGCTTTACTCACCTCTTTTTCTCTTATGACTTTTTGTGGTTTTAATTAAATTTTCTGCAATTTATCTCATCCATCTTGGTGCCTTGTATCCTGATGTATTGCAACTTGAATTGTTATACAGGAATACCAGGTCCCATACTGATACTGACGATCGGGTGGTCGCTGGCTACTACTCATGGCTGATAGGAATTTCAAAGTGAGGTGGTCAACGCATCCAGCTCCTTCACCCTCTATTTTCAGACGATGTGTTAACGCAGACCAGTACTGGAGCAACAATTTGCATTCGGAAAGTGAGAAACATATTATAAATATTTTCAAAATAACGCTCAAGGTGCTGTATCTCTACAGCGTCTTTACCTAACAAAACTATGTCGTCTGTGTACTATCGATCACCTAAGGAGTCTTCTATGAAAAGGTCAATCCTTGTAAAGTCAGACTTCGGTAAGCCATCGACCGTATCTAATATTCCTAATGATTTACGAACCATGGGTTTATGCACACTGACTTACAATGTTGAAATTCACAACAGTTTATGAATAACAAAGTCATCGAGGCTAGGGTAAACAATATATTTAAGGTCAAATATCTTACTTTTGAATGGTAAAATACTTAATGATGGCTGAAGATATAAGACAAAGCTTAGGAGTACAAAATAATGTCATAACTGTTTTCTGGAAGTGTTGCTGACGAGAAGTAATCTATGTTCATTAAAGTATCATGCTTTTCATCTTTCAGGTCTTTTTCCCAAAAATTACCTTAGTTCGATATCCAGTATGATAATATGGAAATTAAGTATGTATGAAAATTTAGTTTTTCTATAAACAGTAGTATTTAAAACGCAATTCTCTCCTTGTCCGTCATTTTTTAACTCACAAAAGAAACGAAAGGTATCCGATAATAAGTTTTTGCGCACGCGTAACATGCTGATGTCAACAAAGGGAAATTTCCAGCTCCCCTTTACTGCATATCCCTTTTTGAATCCAAAGTAAATATCGTATAGAATTGGGAATAATAAGACATACAATCTTTATTTCAATACTGAAATTAAAACTGTATATGTAGCATACAACGCACCCGGTAGTTGGTCATTGCTACCTCCACTCGATACGCTTCACCGTGAGCCAATTAAGAATCATGCTTCGTGAGTTTAGTCATCACTTAACCTGCAACGATTAGACCTCAGTTTTAAGACCTTCATCGCCAACCAATGCTTCAGTATCTGCGCAACACCATGACACTAGCGAAAACACAACAAGTATGTTTACAGAAATATATTTTTAATGATTATTACTCCTGTCAACCATTATAGGTTACATTATTCACTTCAACTATAGCTCTAGTGTTCAGAAAATAGCTATTTTTGTTGGCATAATTCATTAGAGTTGGTGAAAATATGATTGGGATTTTATTTGAGGATGATAGATAGGAAGTGGATAGATGATACACAGTCATGATACCTTGAACATGTAAGTGGCGAACAAAAGCAATTTTACAACACCACAAGTAAAATTTATCAAATATAATGTGAAAATAACTTTAAAAAGGAATGAAACAATAGCGCACACAGTCCTGACAACCTCCGATGATTTAATTTAGAAAAGTGGAAAAATAGATGCTAGTGGTCTTTACATAGTGATATTTAGCAACCCATTTCATACAACGCGTATCCGCATGTATCTCATAGCACTTTCTGCTGCAGTATGGCAAGCCACACACTATACAATTATACAACCCTTTAAAGCCACAGACATTACAAAACTTTCTGCTAGGTAACCTGCTAGGAGGAGCAGCGGCGGTAAAATAGCAAGCACCAGTAGTTCCTCCTTTTGTTGCTTGGTACTCTTCATCCAATAAAATCTCGAATGTTTTTCTACAGCGTGCACGGATATTTGATATGCGTCGCTTTTTACGGCGTTTAGCATTGACTGTATTATCTTCATCCTATAAACAAAATAAACTGCGAATCAATAGTAAATATTAACACAAACCTCATCTCCAAATTGTGGTTTTTTAGTCCCTTTCACATCAGACTGTGGTTCTTCAATATGATTATCTTGTTCAAGAAGACTAAGAGTTTTTCTCTGTCTCCTTTCTTTAGCTGCATCATCCAAAGTACGTCTGGTACCTTCCCGTAAGAGTTCACGTTTATCCATATGATGAAGTTGATTCACTTATTTTCTAGGTAACAATGATATAACGGAAAAGAAATCAGTCTGTTACTATGACCTTCAGTGTATGAAGTTACAAAATAAAAAGTGAGTGCTGTGAAGCCATCTAGTTCGTAATAAATATGTATAAAAATCACTGTGATACTCTAATAAAAGAGAAAGTTCAAATTTTGAAAAGGGAATGAGAAACTTAAATATTCGGTCCACAACATACCGCGAATTCTTAGTAATACCCAACAGTATTGGTCAACAAGATATGTACCACATGATCATCAAACATGTGCAGAAACAAGGACTAAGTTTTCATGAGTTACGTGTGATCTGAAACTTTCGGTAATTTTTCACCTGAATTTACAATTGGAAAAATCATTGCATACAAAATATTATGGTCAACAGAGTTTACGTATTTAAATTGTAAGGCGATAATAACAACAGAACTATGAAAGATAAGGAACATTAAAATATTATAATAAATATTTTTGTACATCATACCAGTGTTTATACAACGCTGATAGTCGACCTATCGCCATAGAATGTAATCAAACGATTGAATCCTTGATAAAATGTGAGTAGCTAAGACGATATAGAACCAAAAACAAACATAACATTGCAAATAAGGATAATAATAACATTTATCTAACTTGACCAAGGAAACCAGTCAGTCAGCACCACCGGAGAAATCGGCATTACTATGTGATGTTCCAATTTGTTAAATATCACATTAAGATACAAGGAAAGAAAATACAAGGCAGAAAAATTGGAAATAAACTGATGAGGAGTCATATGCCGAAAAGAAGAAGAGTTGAAGCAAATAGTTAATTATGATGTGACAGCTTAGATGAAGACGAGCTGTATATGCGCCACTAAGATTGGTTCCCAAACATATCACCCAGAGTTTCCAACCAACGATTACCGTGGTCACCCAGACCCTCTTTTACCAACATTGCTGAGAACAATGGTTAAACATTTGATGAGCCGATGTCATTTTTTGGTTTGTCCACGCTCACCTTTCTTCCAAACTAAACACAATCCAGCTAAAATTACTAATACAGATAGTGACAAGACATGCAGAGCGTATTCCAGGCATTCAAGTGGATGGAGATTTGAAAATTTACTAAATGACTTACCTTTTTGCTAAAAACTCCCAATCTGACTTCTGGATTACTAAATGAGTGGTTCCAAGATAGACAACAGACATTAAGCAGGCAAATAGTCAAAACCAGAAACCCAAAGTTTTGCAGATGTCCACGTGATAGTGCACCATAAGCATGATATTTGTGACATCCAACTACCATCCACAGTTTACACCATACTAAGTACAAACCATAACACCTACATCTCGCATCACTACAGCAGTTGACCAAAGCAAAACCATGCAATCGCATTGTTACCGAATACTGACGAAATCACAATGCCTACCGGTAGTGTACGAAGTTTACAATGACCTTGACCATGTACTGCAGTCGCCATAAGGATGTACATCATACAATTTTTATGGTCCTAATTTCCTTTTCAGTCACACTTTTTACTTTCTTGAAACTTAGCATTGTTTTTATATACCTAAAGTATTGAGCATATACTATTGGAAATTGGACGCGATCAGTGATTGCATGAGGATAATGTGTGTATACATCTGCGCCACTGACATCGGTTATGAGCCATATCACCTAGTCTCCAACCACTGGTTCCTCTTGGTTTGAGACTCTACGTGATATGGCTCAGAACCGATGTCAGTGGCGCAGATGTATACACACATTATCCTCATCTTAACATTATGCCGATTCTCACCATTCTTTCATTCTTCCTTTCTTTCTTCCAGTACTTTATATTTCTTTTGACCGAACTTTCTTATACTCATCTTGCACCTCACTACCTTTCTACTTGATGTACTGATATGAGCTGTGGCAACTCGGGCCGTTACGCAGTAATGCCTGGTCCTATGTTGATATTGATGATGATGTGACTGCATCGAACCTACTTTTAATACTCTAAGAATACCGACTGGTGAACCAAACTTGCTGTTCACAAAAGTATGAGCAATCAGTGACAGTGAGACGATAGTTTGTTTACAGTGTTCAGTGCGTTTGAGTACATTCTGCATTCGGAAGTTACTAGTTACTCTTCTTTAGTGAATGACTGTATTCCTTTTCGTAATATATATGCTGAGATTCCTTTGCAACGGATGCCTGTAGAATGCGCCGATGCCGTTGACTGAACTTTAGATTTCTTTGTTGTGCTTCATTTTCAGGTAAAATGACATGCTATAAGCTCTGTGATGCTACTCAAAAACCCGTAGCATTCGCAGTTGATGAACCCAACTCCTTACCAAGCCTAACAACATCAAGACACAGGAGATGAAACTATATATACTCTGAAATATAGAAGAACGAGAGGCGACTTGATAATGGCTCACAGTATCTCAAACACCCTTGTACATCCACTCCGTAACTTATTGAATCTCGGTGGTAACACTAATCTTAGAGGATGCACACAGAAACTAGGCCTAGAATATAACAGGTTAGATATCCGATACAACTTCTACTTCCTAAGAGTTATTAAATACTGGAGCCCTCCTCCTGCGGAAATGGTTCGGGCTACTTCATCTGAATCCTTCAAACGCCGACTTGACACAGACTTAAGATGAGGGTGGGAGCTCACTCAAAACTAACTCCGTTTACGTACTTTAACCACCACCTTTTTCTCCCGCTGTATTAGCGCACAGGTTAGCAACGACTGATACTAGTGATCCACTGAATCTAGACGCGGAAGTCAGTTAAGCAAATGCTTCTTCCATTCCGTCAACCACTAATTGAACCATGTGAAGCCAGACTTTGAGTAATGTTTCCGATTATTCAATAAGTGTCTGTTAAGTTAAATTGTGACTCAACCTTATACATAAGAATAAGAAGTATGACCGCCAACCTATACACAGATAACAGTTGACTGCACGTCAGACTTCTTAACAGAGTTCTGCTTAAGCAGCACCCAGTCCACCATACATGCCCTTATCCTACTATGGGCGGTCATGAATGATTTTCAATAGTCACAGCATTTTAAAGTGTATTTACCGGAATAAGCTATTCAACCTATTTCACTGTCTAATGATGAGAAAATGAACAACTCATTGCAAGACGAACTCCGAGAATATATGATAGACTATGAAGTGCCTGGTGGGAAAGAAGCTAATAATGTTCATGGACATGATACTTTCGCTGGAACAAAACAGCACACAAGTAAACATGACATTCGAAGCACCATCTATTGGGCGAAGACGAACCAAGCAGATGCACATATTGTGCTTGAAGAAATACGGCCATTTCACCCAAAACTACCGGCAGATCCGCGAAGTGATGAAGACCCCAGGCAGATCTTGCCAGAAATCGATATGATCTGATACCTACTTTTACGTTCGCCTTCGTCATCAGCTTCAAAGTCATCTTGGGAATGAGGAAACCGTTACAAAAAGGACATTTTCTTTTAATTACAGATAGCACCCAACTGATCATGAGCTCCAAACTTGATGCAGGTTTTTAATAAGTGCATATTCCGGTCCATGTAAACCACTTGATGTTTATGAGTTGTTAAGGGACACTGCATTCGAACTTCAGTTGATCTATCAAACTAGTCTTCAACCAAGTAACGGTATCCCAGCTCGGATAAAAGGGCCCGTTCGGGATTTCTCAACGTGCGTCGCTTGTGGTAGCGACTGGTGAGATATTAGGCTGTCTATCAACAGATGGTTATACTACACTGAAGTTTGTTCTGTGCTGCTGTACGGCTGAGACATTGCCCCTAAAAGTATATGTGAAATGGTTGCAGGGATTTGATCATACCTGTCTTCGTAGCATTGTTGAGTTTTGGTGGTGTTGTGAACCTTAGTTGACTGAGATGACTTGGGGGTGTACTGCACATGCCGAGCCACTGTCTATCTCGACGTGCCACGCTAAGGGAAGTCGTATTAGGTTGGAAGAGAGTTCAGGGTGGCCAGACCAGGACGTGGTACCAACCGATGAAGTCTCATACTGTTAACCTGAACCATGTGGGGAGATGCAGACTGCTTGATTAGGTTGACATACTCCGGTATAGGTCGGATAGCAGTTTAACTTAACAGGACACAGATTGAATAATGGGAAGCATTACTCAAAGTCTAGCTTCAAATGGTTCAAATAGTGGTTGAGGAATGGAAGAAGCCCAAACTAGCAAAAATGGGAAAATAAAGGGGATGAGTGGGGAAATAATACGGCAGTCCATTATAATGAATACTTTGACTAAAACCTTTAAAGAAACATCAACTCATCAAGTAGGTGTAATATATTCAGTGTTATGGAAGCTAAAATATATATTACAACCACTTAAAACCAGCATATCGTCACAAAAACTTCAGCAACTCAATATCTTTCCAATAAGTAGAAGTAAAATTCAATAAGTGAAGATAATGTGATGATTTCAAGTGTTTGTAATATGTATTTAAGCTTTCAAAATACTAAATATATTACACCTAATTGATGAGTTGATGCCTCTTAAAACGTTCTAGTCGAAGTATCCATTATAATGGATTCCCCCTATTATTTCCTCATTTTTTTCAGTTTGCGAGTATTGGCTTTATTGACTTCCATGTCCTGCAGGACGTTAAATGCGTGTGCTTCTTAGAAGGTACATGTGTTTAGACAACTATGACACTTTCGTGGACAGATTACATCATCCTTTATACTACATAAAAGCATAAGAATATCACCCTACGCTGATACTTGCTGCTTCAAAGCTATCTACGCAAGTATGTATACATGAAAAACCATGGAGAACACTCCCCACCAAACCCTGCGATGCAAATATTTAAAAGTTAGTGAAAATCTTAATATTTGGATTTCAAGTCACTCACCATATCAGTAATTATTCTAATTCCATTCAACTTACATTCCTTTCCAATCAACAAGTTCCATTCTTGATTAATGTGACGATGACAACAAGCTACGCGGGTTCCAATA